AAAGTGAATGTATCAGAACCGCCTGGCCACAGTGGGTGGAGGGTCAGGCCTCTTGGCATATACTCTGGTGCTGGCCTGAGCCACATTGGTGACACCAGCATTTTTGTTTGTTCTTCTGCCCCTGGCAACTCCTGAGCAGATTGGATTCCTGTCCCAAGGAACACAGATGCTTGCTCCCGTGCCAGCCTGCCCAGCAGCACTCTACCTCAGAGCAGCATCGCCTGGGGGGAAGAGGCAGGCTGGTTTCTGAGAGTCCCTCTCTTCCCTCTTCCCCTGGTCACTCCATTAGCCTCCTCTCCTCTCCAAATCCATTCGTTCTCCCCATAATGAGCACAAAGCATGGTTGTCTAAGTGCAATTGCCCTGTAAAGAAATGGCTTAATGACAAATATTTCATGGCCTGAGTTCCCAGAAGTATTGCAGCTTCATTCTAATTCTGCAGGTGGAAAGTGGTTGGGACATCAGGAGGTGGGTGAGATGATGCAGTGTGGCAAAGCTCAGAGACTGTGCAGGCAGCATGCAGGTAGTGAGTGCTGGCAGCTGTGATGGGACCTCGAGACCTGCTTCCTGCCTCTCTCATCCCTTTTCATTTTGAGGCTGTCCAGAGCGTTTTGCCAGCCATTCGAAGAAGCACCTGTGCTGACAATGTCATTGAGTTCTGGGAGAAAGCAAGGTCTCACTTTTTGGGGGCAGTCAATATGCCTACAGACCTACAAGAGCCCTGTGGTGCAGGGGAGTGTGTGCATGGTGACAGAGGCAGAGAGTGCTTTCCAGTTGTAAGAACGTTTAGTTCCATTGTGTGGTTTTGTTTTTGTTGTTGTTATTGTTGTCGTCGTGTGTGTGTGTGTGTGTGTGTGTGTGTGTGTGTGTCACAGAGCATATGAGGAGGTGAGGATGTACTACATGAAGTAGTCTATTCTGTCCTTTCACCGTGTGGGTTCTAGAAATTGAATTCTTGTCACCAGGCTTGGTGGCAAGCACCCTATCTGATGAGTCATCTCAGTAGCTCCAAATTTTCTGGGGTTTTTTGTTTTGTTTTGTTGTTTACTTTTTCTTTCTTTTGTTGTTGTTCTGGTTTTGTTGTAGTTGTTGTATGTATGTTTGTGTGTTTGTTTGTTTGAAATCGGGTCTCATTATGTAACCTTGGCTGGCCTGGAATTCTTTATGTAGACCAGTGATGGGAGATGCCATTCTGTAAATATGTTTCTCTTATTGGTTAATGAATAAAGCACTGTTGGCAAATAGGAAGGTAAGATAGGCAGGACTAGGAGGAAAGGAGGATTCTGGGAGAGATAGTAAAGAAGGGGTCAAGATGTAGGCAGTGAGAGGAATAAGAGGTCCGGACTCTCTCTCTCTCTCTCTCTCTCCTTCCTCCCTCCCTCGCTCCCCCCTCTCTCTGGTAAGACCACATGGAAATACTTAAATAGATAGAAATGAGTTAGCTAAGACAGAGCTAGCCAATAAGAAGCTTCTAGCCATTGGCCAACAGCTTTATAACTAATAGAGTCTCTGTGTGTTATTTTGGGGCTGACGCAGCTGTGAGACCAGGCTGGTGGGAAAGTGCTCATAACAAACCAGGATGACTTAGAACTCCTAGAGATCATCCTGCCCTTGCCTCCTGAGTGCTGAGATTAGAGGTGTGCACCACCATACCCAGCACATTTTACACAAACTGTAAAAATACAGGTATGATTCAGAAACACTTCAAGGAGCTAGCTGAGGACCTCTTTCTAGGCTTAGGTGATGACCTGTGATACTTGATCCCAGAGAGTGAATCCAGCAGAGTAGTAGACCAGATAAGAAAGAGCTGTAGTCAATTACAAGATTCTTCTTCTTCTTGAAATAGGAGGCACTGTTTGTCTCAGCAGGCAGTTATCTAAAATTGGGGTTGTGGATGGGGAGATGCTCAACCGGTAAAATGTTTGACCTTGAAAGCATAAGGACCAGAGTTTGGGCCTCAAAACCCATGTGAAAGAGTCAAGCTGGCTTGCAGTGCCCGGAGATGGAGCCCGGCAGACCTCTGGGGTTCACTGGCCAGCCAGTCTAGCCTAATCAGCAAGTTCCAGGCTAACTGGGAGATCTTGTCTCAAAAAACAAGGCAGCTATCTTCCAAGGGGTGATACCTGAGGTTGACTGCTGGTCTTTACATGCATACATATGGGCACCCACATCCTTACATACACACCCAAATATTGTAATATTGAGGGCAGAAGAGATAACATAGTACCTAGCAGAAGTGGGTACTGATATTTCTGCTTTAATTTTGTTGTGATAAAAGGGTAAAAAGGAAGTATGTAAGAAAATGTGAAAGTGACATCCTTGAAGAAACCAAAGCAGAAAAACAGTGAAACTAACCTGTGTGGGGCACGTTTTGCTCTTCGCTGGGTCTTTCCAGATTCTTGTGCCCAAGACTTCTGCCAGGGCTTATTGGCTTGCCTCTTTAGCGTGTGTGTGGCTGCAGGAGCAGCCTGAACTTTCAAGACTTGTTCAGAAGAAGGTGTGTTTATTCAAGTTCAAGTAAGCGGAGGTAAATGCAGGTGTGGTCAGGAACTAGGGCTGGCTCACCTCTCCTAGTCGGCATAAGGCCAAAGTCAGCTGTATTGGGGATTGCTGTGGCTGCTTTCTCACCCAAGGTCATTTTAGTTCCTCTGGGCTGCAGCTGAACAGAATGCTGCAGTCTCGGGACAGACTGAGTTGGAGTCTTTCCCCAGGTGCCTGCTAAGCAGATCCAGTCCTATCCACCACTGGTGCTCATGCTGCAGAGCTTGAGGGCACTGTGCTATGAAGCTGAGCCAGACTTATCCCCGCCTCTCCATACACAGCACCCTCCTCTTTCCTTTTGTCCTTCATTAGCTTTGGATTCTGGCTGAAGCAGACTTTTGCTGCCTCCTTTGCCCTTCTTCCAGGCCCCCATGATAAGAAGTAGCTTGGCATGGTAGAATGATTGGGGCAGGAGGTATATGGCCATCAGCCTGAGAGATATATGGTGTTGACACCTAGAGATTATTCATCTGCGATCCACAGCATGTGCTGATAATAGAAAGAATGATATACAACCTTCGGTAGTAAGGCTGTGTGTAACATGAGTTCTAATTGGTCTTAATAATGAAAGTCCTGAGTCAGATATCAGGGTAAAAGCTGGAAGATCAGAGAGATGAAGGAGCAAGCTACAGCTACACCTTACCTAGCTAACTTCCAGCCCAACAGGGAGCAAGTTCCTGTTTCCTCTCACCTACATTCCTCTCTCCTCCCAGCCATCTCACTTCCTGCCTCCACCTCCCTAGTGCTTGGATTAAAGGCATGTGTCGCCATTACCTGGCCTCTATGGTTAGCTAGTGGCAAGCTCCACCCTCTCATTTTCAGACACATTTTATTTGTACAAACAAGATATCACCACATTTGTGTTCTTGTCTCTAAGAATCAGATAGCCAAGCATTGGAAGCAAAGCAACATAACAATTAGCAAATTCTTGGTGGAAGGGATAGTCTGTGGGCAACAGGGAACTATTTCCTTGATTGCTTACTCATACTTACTGTTTTATTATTTGTGTGTTTATATGTATGTGGATGTTAGAGGGCATCTTCATGGAGTTGGTTTTCTCCTTCGGCCTTTATGTGGGCTCCGGGGATGGGACTCGGGTCATCAGGTTTACTTGGCAAGTGCCTTTGCACATCTAGCTTCAGCTTGCTATCTGTCTCCCCCTGTCTCCAGCTCCCAAGTGCTAACTGAGCTATGTCCCAAGCTTGGACTCTCTTGAGATCTGATTGTTAAAGGGTGTGGCCAGGGAAGTCAGGCTCTAGATTCTGGTAATGCTTTCTGTGTGTGTGTGTGTGTGTGTGTGTGTGTGTGTGTGTGTGTGTGTGTTTCCTTTTATTGGGACAGAGTGAGGAGCTGGCTGCCTTCAGCCAGGACTGGATGGTGGCACCACTGGAGGAAGCCTCAGCTCTGAAGCAACTGATTGTTTTAGTCTGTGTCATACATGTGTGATTGAGAGATGTCTAGGTATTAATGTGGTGATACTAGAATTGAGAGCAAATGCAAGTGCTTTTATGTGTTCTTGTTGGTTTGTATTTTTGAGACAAGCTCTCATTCTATACTCCAGGTGAGCCTGGGGCTCTCTATACAAACCACACTGCCCTTAAACTCCTGCAACCCTCCCTCATCAGCCTCTCGAGCACTAGAATTACAGGCATGGCTCATCAAGCCTCTTGAAAGTGGTTTTCCTAAATGGGAGGAGTACTCAGAATGAAGTTCATTGAGGAAAATGATGAATTAGACCGCCCGAAATAAACATCTGCACAGGCGTAAAAAAATGGCGATGATTGGGGAAATGTAATGCAAAGACTTGGGGTGTAGCCTGAGCGGGTATTGTGCAGTGAATGCAGACTGGTGGTTGAACAGACTGTGCAGGACTTCGAATGTGAGCTGAAACATGGTCTAGCTCCTCCCCCACTACCTTCCAGCCTGGAAATCTTCAGACTGATTAAACTGTGGGTAGGCTTGTTGACTGACCCATAGGTAAAGGACTTTGGAGGTGAAACTCGTAGAAAATAAAAAGCCTTGGTGTAAAGGCTGGCTCCAGCCCTTAATCTTCACTGGGGGTAGAGTGGTGTTAGTGTGCCTGCAGCATTTGGTTAGACACAAGGAGTACTTGTCTGACAGTGAGTCATTAAATGGCAGTATGAATTATTGAGAGAAGGTTTTGGTATATAGAGGAGACTTTCAAAGCAGGCTGTATTTGCATCTCATTGGAATGGCTTAGGTCCATCTTAGCATGTTTAGTTTTTAACATGGCCCTAGGTGATGGCCAAAGGAAAACGGATGATTACTGGGGTTCCTGTTCTAACCAGGAGGTTCCCTGAGATTCTTCCCTGAAGTTGTCTGCATGCTGCATGCTCCTACATCCCCAGAGGTGCTTGTTATTATGGACTGCACAACTCTGCAGCCCTTGATGCAGGATGGCTAGTCTAATTGGAATCCACTCCTCTGTTCTCTTTACAGTATGAGTTTAAAGCCAAGAACATCAAGAAGAAGAAGGTGAGCATCATGGTGTCTGTGGATGGTGTGAAAGTGATCCTGAAGAAGAAGAAAAAGGTAAATGACTCTGAACCAGGAACTGGCAAGCTAGGCATGGGATACCATTTCTTTCCAGAACATTATCTATCCAGTGGCCTCTGCATTGGCTATCAGTAATATTGCTAAGCCACAGCTAGAGCAAGGAGTGAGGCAGAGGCCAGTGGCCTGGTGGGACTATTGCTCAAGAGTAAGTCTCAGTCATTCATAGCCTTTGGGTCACTTCCCAGTTTCCTCATGTTGTGTGTGTGTGTGTGTGTGTGTGTGTGTGTGTGTGTGTGTGCGCGCGCACGCGTGTGTGTGTGTGTGTGTGTGTGTGTGTGTGTGTGTGTGTGTGTGTGTACGCGCGCGCAGGATCTCATTATGATGCCACCTAAATTGAACTTGACTTTGTGGTCCTCCTGCTCCAGCCTCCTAAGCACTGAGATGACAGGCCTATTCTCACACTTGGTTTATGTGAGTCTCCTAAAGGAAAGTACTTCCACATTAAGTGATACACATTCAGCATCCCTTAACTGAAATCCAAAATGCTTCAGAATTTGGAATTATTGGGGTGTCATGTCAGTACTGCAAAAGTTTCTGATGTTGGGCCAAGTCCATACAAATATTCTCTGATGGCCATCCCCTCTGCTAGGCCTCTGAAGTATGAAACTTACTAGAGTTAAATGTTTTGGATGGAGAGCGTCAACCTGCAATTAGTAACAAGCTTCAGAGTGGGTGCACTTGAGAGGAAACAGCCATCTGGAACACTCAGCCCCATCCCACACGCACCACAACCCCCCTTTTATGTGACTTGTGACCTTTCATAGCTGCTGCCACTGGGTTGTGCCTTTTCCCTAGCGCCACATGTCTGCACACTGTACACAGCTGTGAGGGAGTCCTAGAGTATCTTCTTGAAATTCTTGAGTGGGAGAGTTGATGAAGCAAGTGGATGCCTATTAAGTGTCTGGGATTGAAATTAGAAGTGAGATGATGCTAACTTGAGTAAGATTGGGGAACCAGTAGAACCCACATCCCTGGTTCAGGGAGTCTGGTTTCTGTCATGTGTCTGATTGCTTTCCTCCGGCCTTCACATGAGGGGAATTGGTGGCTTAGCACCCTCCACTGATAAAATCATTGGTGAACATTCTCCAGGTGACAGGATGCCTTCACACCCACTCTTACACAGCCCTTCATCAGTCACTGTGGCCATTTCATTGGCTGGTGATTTCCTCACAGACTTTTCCCGCCCCTTGCCAGAGGCTGAGTCTTTTGAGCTACAACATTGAAGGATCATTGTAGAGGAGCAGGGAATTTGTAGGAAGCCAAGATGGGATAGAGTGCTCCAAAATCTGTCTTCTGGATATGCCGTGGGCATGGAGATCATGAACACACTACAGGTGTGGCTGCCTGCACAAGGCCTAAACAAAGAAGCAGCCGGATGTGGCAGTAAGAGGAAGACAAGTTAGGGAGGAGGAAGTGGTCACAAGCAGGGAGACTAGTGAGAGAGGAGGAAGGGTCAGCTGGAACGGAAAGGAAGCAAGGCAGGGCAATGGCTTCAGATATGATCACAACCTGTGTTCAAAATTGTCAAAAATTTTAAAAGGAGAAAAAACACACATAACAAACTTATTCCTCTGACCTAAAAAATTATCCAGACTTAGAGTTTTGAAGATATGAGCCTCAGGATGCTAAATCACATTGATCAACTCAAGGCAGAAGATGCATAAACTGGACTAATAATTTCTTAATCCACTCTGAAATAGAATGGTCTCCTGGACCAGAGATTGGCCTGACAAGCACATATTTCCTGCCAACTGGAGAAAAACCACATGAGAAGGCAAATTAGTACAGGGTTGCTGGGTGGACACAGAGGTGGGCCAGCTCTGCCTGTTGACATTAGGAATATTGAGTCCACTGGATGGTCATAATGACCATGTTGGGGGATACAATTCCTCAAGCCTATTTGGCAGTCCTGGCCAAAGCTTCCCTGTGTGACTGTCTGACTTCTGTTCATCTACAGCTAACACTCCCCAAATCTCCACACCACCCTATTTAGGACCCTGGGAACTATTATGTCCCCTTTAGATAACTGAGTATACTCCTCAAAGGATAGTCTCTCAGGGCTTCCCCTTGTGTCAGGAACCATGGATAGTGCCATCTCCATCTGTCTTGGAAGGCAGGTGGCTAGATCACACTCTGACAAGGGCAGCAGAATGCTGGGGTGTTACCTGGGAGAGAAGCCACCCCCTCTTTCCCTAAGTACATGAAAGTTAAGCTATGGCAGCATGTCCCTAAGGGAGTCCTGGGGACTTGTGACTCACTTGAAACTGCATGCTTGGTAATCTCTAGCATTTGCCCTCCTGGCCCAGGAAGGAGGCAGTGTAGCAGGTCAGCCCTAGATCTGATTCTTCCCGTGCCAGCTTGGGAAAGAGGAGCCTCCTATCTTATTTCCTCCACCCACGCCCGGTGTCCATTTCAGGGCCTGAGCTGTGATGTGGATAATGCCTTTAATCACCATGTGCATATTTACCGCCTCTGGCAAATGAATGTGCATTAGCAGCAATCAGCCTTTTTGTCATCTGCTTCTCACGTGACAGTCCTGGTAGCCGTGAGTGCTGCCACCGAGCTCCGGCACACACACTCTCTTTCCCTCTCATATTGAGTTGAGAAGGGCAACAATGTAAATGTTCAGTTTTCTACAAGGAAATGGGACAATCAGCAAGTGCCAGGAGTTAAAGCCACCATGGTCAGGGCCTGGCCCTCTTGCAGCTACCATAGGCAAAGCAGCAGCACAGCTATGTTCAGCCTGACATTCCTGCCCAATACTCAGTGACTAGCTTGTATGATGTTGCCTGGTCCCCTCTACTGTAGGAAGTATGTTGATTCTCACTGGGTCAGTGTGACATGTTGAAAGGAGCCCTTGGCAGAGGCAAGAAGACCTGGGTTCTGGTGCTGGCTCCACCCTTCCTAGCATATGTTCTGAGCAATTCACTTTGAGCTTTTAACTATGAAGTGAAGAGATGGCTTGGCAGGGATCATGGTAAATTTTTCAGTTCAGATCTCGGCACAAGCCATGGGGCCATACTTTTTAATGCTTGTATATAGATCCAGGTCACCGGTATGTAGTCAAGGCCCTGACAACTTATTTGTCTGCAGAGAAAGCAGACCTCAAAAGCTAATGGGTTGGTGGTACTGTTTCAGTCTTCTGGGAACATTCTGAGGCCACACACCCCGAACAGCCATCAGGCCTCCTCTTTGTCTTCAAACTACCCATAACTGGTCAGTGATGGAGTTCTTCCCACCAGAAGAGACATGATTTAAAGGGACTCCTATAAATCACCTAGTGAGCTTTATAAGGGTGGGACTATCTTGGTGAGCTCAACATTTTCCTGGATGGCCTGTCACTTTTAGACTGTGTTCATTAACTGTGGCTGTGGGCTAGCTGGATAAATGAATGTTATTTGTGTGGTAGTGTCATTAAATCCAGAAGAAATCAGCAGTGAAGTATTAACTGTTGCTTCTCCTCTGCTGTCACTATATAGATTTAAGAGTCTGTGCAGGGAGTTGGGGAGGTTACTAAGCTCAGTTACTGAGCATGGAGGCTTGAGACATGGCTCAGTGGACAGAGAACTTGCTATGGAAGTATAAGAACTATTGTTCAAGATCCCCCCAGCATGGGGTACAATCCAGACAGGGCTGTCTGTAATCCAACACTCAGGACATGGAAACAGGGATCCTGGCTAGTTAGACAAGCTGGAATGCACAAGCGATAGTTTTAGTGAGACTCTGCCTCAATAAATAGAAGACAACAGCAGAGATAAACTTTGGGCTTTTACATGTACTCGAATGCAAATGCATATTTATCCCCCCATACACATGTAAAACATACATGCACACATGCCATATACGCATGCCCCACCACATATAAAGGTGAACATGTTACATCCCAGCAATGGGGAGGTGGAGACAGGTGCATCTCTGGGATTTCCCAGCAGCTAGTGTAGCCTCTTTGTTGAGCTCCAGGCCAGGGAGAAATCCTGTCTTAAAAACTAAGTTGGATGGCTCCTGAGGAATTACATACCTGGGACTGACATGTACAAAGCATCTCTCCTCTCTCTCTCTCTCTCTCTCTCTCTCTCTCTCTCTCTCTCTCTCTCTCTCACACACACACACACACACACACACACACACCAATCAAAAAAGAATCAGTGTTTAGTAGTAGGATTTGTTCAGGTGGCTCAAATTGCCATGCATATTCCACCAGTGTGGGCAATAGCCAGACAAGTTATGGCCATCCCATTGCCTATAAAGACCATTTTTTGAGTTGCTAACAAGCATCTAGGAATGCGCTCTTCCTGAACTGGTGCAAGCAGATAATGAATCTTAAGTTGAATTCATTTCAGAAGCTCAGTTGCTAAGATAATTGGCTTTGCTTTGATGTGTTCCAATCAGAACATCATTTTCAATGTTCAGGGAGACCCAAGTAGTTATCTTTTCTGTGTATCTAATCATGCTTATTTATTATAATCCCAGAACCACACTGTGGCACCATTTGCTGTGGAGTAGAATCCTGACTAAGATTAACCTTGAACTTCATCCAAGGGATTTTTCTATTAAAGAGCTCAGCTTCATGTTTTCAGATTTCTTCTGAAAACCACTAGCTTTGTTGGAATCCCCTAAGATGACAGATTAGAATGGCTTCAACATTCTAATGAACAAATACCATAGATCCACCATGCTCTGAGAGCTATAGGCTGGATGCATAGAGGAATTAGAGGTGTGTGTGTGTGTGTGTGTGTGTGTGTGTGTATGTGTGTGTGTGTGTGTGTGTGTGTGTGTGTGCTCACATGTGTGCATGCGCACGGCATGTTTGTTTTTTTGGTTTTGTTTTGGTTTTGCTCTCCCTATTCCAAAGCAGATGAAATAATGTTTCAGAAAAGACGTGGTCCCTTCCCACTAAAGACTCACATATGGGTGGGACAAAGGGGAGGGAGGGAGGGAGAGAGGGAGGGGGAGGGAGGGAGAACATGTATATGCTT